CACCCAAGAGATCTAGCAGGTTCAATACTGAAGGTATTAAATCTTGAAAGAGCAATGGGAAACCTGTGACAGGAATTATAATGGCAGGGTAGCATGTAGGTTACAATGGTAAGATTACCGAGAGATCTTGTACAGGGATTTATAGGTCAAAGCTGCGGGTCATTACCACAAAAGCCACACCAAAACATTGTACTAATGAAGCAGTGTGGAGAGTGGCCAGATTGTATTTACTAGAGGGCTGTGGGTTGATTTTTGTCACAATTTACCTTAATAATATTCCTCAGTGGCATAGTCCCATGGGAGAACCGATGAACAAATATTGTTTCAATCAACCTTTTGATGTAGTGGAAAGAATGGCAGATACATGCCAAGCTAGAAACAGCAAGACAAAAGCATTTAAGAATGCTACAGAAACAAATGTGGCAAGACAGTTGGAATAAAAATATGATGCTTACAAAAAATATTGCTTGAGGCTCATAACAGAACTTACTTAACTACTGGATGGGGGCTTGATGTAAGCTTGTCATTCAGGCCATAGACAAAAGGCATGCGGAAATAAAACAGAAAATAGATGAACAATGGACCCGCATATTCTGTCAAAAATACCTGAAAAAAGGGAGAGAATAATTAGACAGAGCAGATCAGAAGCTGTGCTTTTTTTTATTAGTAAATTCCTCCACCAACCTAGAATGGAGGATTGGTTGGTTGATTTGACAACATTTGGAATTATATTCTGAGACTGTTAGAAATGCATACATATGGCATGCACTTGCATTTGCAGTGACTGCATACAACTTCAATAATTGCATTCACGTGTAACAAGTTATGTGCAATTAACAAAGGAACACATACAGTTGTGAAATGTGAATGCAAATTATAGTTTTATTACCTTAGCCTTTATTTTTCATCTTGGTGTCCTATAAAACTGCTTTTTATATAGTTTAAAAAGAATGCTGGGGGAAAAAAATCTCTCAAAAAAAGGGAAAGAAACTAGTTTATAATGAATGAATTTTGTTTAAAATAAAATACTTCATATGAACACCAATTTAAATTGACCTCAATTTTGATTATTACTTTTGCTTCCATAACTCAGTAAGGTAGGTTGATATCCAAATTATGAAGACATGAGGGAAATGTACTATACTTACATAACAAAAAGTCACCACTTTTTTTCTGATATAGTTGAAGCTACTGAGATGGCCAAAAAAGTTGTTGAGATTTTAGTGATGTTCACTATATTAATTTGATATGCTGTGGTATTTCACTGTACATTGATATGAAAACATCTTGATCTTCTAATTTGCTGTGATCATCTTACTGTGTTTAAGATTTCTTGCTTGTTGTCCTTTTTCTAATATAGGCTCCAGTGTTATGCTGAGGATTTATACTCAACAAAAAACAATTACTGTTTTTAATATTACAGAGTGTACTATTACCTTTGTCTTTGATATTGTTCATTAATAATATTACATTAATTGTTCTAAGAATAATCTGTCTTCAACTTGCTGTCTAACTTTACCTTCATGCTGTGACATTACAGTTAAAACTAAAGGACAGTATGTGCACTGTAACTGCAGAAGGCTCTGCACATATCACTTCAGAGCCACCATTTCTCTTACCGCCTCCTACTCAATGCTGCAGGCTAATGCTGCCATGATGGAACTTTGCTTTGAATTAAGGGTGCAGAATATATGACATTTTCTTCAATCTCTGTTAGAGCTGAATGAATAACTGATTATTGAGTTTGGTGGCGGAACCAAAAGGTATGAAAAAAATATTTGGGTAGTTTCAAACCTAAACTGATTTTTTGTAGTGTTCTTTCTTGACAAAATGAAAAATTAGTGTTTGGATCAAATGAAACATTGTGACTGCCTATTTGAAGTGACACTTGATTTCTAAATTAAATTATTTGAAACGCAATGTGGAAATAGCTCATTTTGATAGCTTCAAAACAAACTTTTGAGTTTCAATTTTTTCCCAGTGTTTATTTAGCCAAACTCACACTGAATTCATGCTGCCACTAAAATGACCAGTTGTCAGTAGTATCCCAGGACCTAAACTGCAAACATGCATGTGAGTAACTTTACTTTCATGAGCAGACCCATGAAAGTCAATGAAATTGACGGATATGAGTAAAGGTATTCATATGTCTTTGCAGGATTGATCTCCAGGACAAGAATGTAAGCCTGATCTCTGATTGCCCAAGGAACAGAATTTACATAGTTACTTAGTACCACAGTGCCAGATTATGTTGTGAGACAATCACTACTGCTTTTCCATTGAATGCATGGCCAGGATTTCATGATGTACTTTTACTGAAGTCTCTCATTAAATGCTTCTTAAGGTTAGAATAGTTAAAAATGAAGATCTGCTCTCTCCATCTGCTGTCAGACCAGGCGACATATAGAAATTCTATATAAATGCTGAGAGAAAGTGATGCAAAAATTAATTAAAGAGAAGCATTAATTAAAATGTCCCAGGCTTGCAGCATAGCTCACCATCGTCCATCCTATTTGTGGCCCTAAATCTTTAAAATACAGTGTAGCGGTTGTGCCAACTGGGAGATGTTGCAGGATTTCCTCATCTCTCAAGGATTTTCCCTCTGAGAAGAAGAAGTAGTAGTTATACACATCACAGTAGAATTAAAGTAAACTCTGGTAACAGAAACCTTTTAGTCCATTTAGACCAATCTTGGAATCCTTTTGGCCGGACTCATGCTTTTACCAGAGTCTTATGTAAGAGTATGCCACCTGATAAATACACATTTAGAATCCTAGCGTTTTCGTATACGTGCATGCAAAAAACAGGAGTAAATATGCTGTCCACCCACAGAACTACCACTGAAGCCAACACCATGAATTGAATTCTCACGCCCTGATCTGCAGTATGGTCATTCCACTGCTGCTGAAGAAAATGGGTAGATGCTAATGGGGTAGGTGAGTCAATACTCTCTCTGTTGGGACAGAGAATTTTTCAGAGAGCACGGACCACTAACCAGCCTCCTTCTCATTCCTCATTTCTGTGAACTCCTTCATGGAGGAAAGTCTTAGCATGCAAGAGGTTGCATTGTCCTCCTACGTGACCTCTTTGGGCCCTTCCATTTCAATCCAGTGGAAATGTGGTTTTACAGGGTTTTGTCCTAAGCAGGGGGCATGGCACAGAACAGGATCTCTCTCTATCTCTCGCTCTAGTAAAATGCAATTTATATTACACTTTTTTGCACACACTCTTGTTGAACTGACATCTTTCCATTTCAGAGGTTTGACCTATGAGACACAAGCCTGCTCTGGGCTGGTGGCACCCTTGCTTTTCCTTCCTGCATTTAGGGGCATACCCATAGTTCCAGCTGTCACCTACTAACACGTTTCCCAGCATAAGCCATTGGATGGCTGTTCACATAAATTCTTGTGGAAGAAAATAAGCTGCTCAAGCACATATTTTCCCATGGACTTATCCCAAAACAATTTGTTAATCTTTACTAACAATCATTTGAAGAGATTGTGTAAGTAACTATGCCTAATAGCAGCAAAAAATGCTACATATTATTTGAATAATATGGATAATTAAGATGTTTTTTTCAATTATTCTTTCATTTTTAAGCACCAATGGCATGCAACAAGAGTTTTCTATCAGAAATACCCATGACCAATTTAATTGAATCAGTCGCTTGGCACCAGCTAAGTTTGCAGAGCCTATATTCCCAAATGCATTTTTCATTAGTTTATCACTTAAAAAAGCTACAATGTCCACCTGAGATTTAAAATGTTAACGTGAATTACTAGCACTAGTACATAATCCTTCAGACTTTTCATATTTGAGCACCATTCTGGGTTCCATCTCATTGCAGTTAAATGCAGGTGGTAAACAGATTAGATGCTGATTCCATTGAAGGACAAGTGCTCAATAGCTGAAAGCAAATTAAGTCAATGTGCAAACTCCCCAGTTAACTAAACAGTGGTTACTAGCATCAGACCCATAGTAGGACTCTGAGCAATAATGTTCAAAGAATTCAGCTTGTGTTGAGCTCCTTTTTGTAAAATCCTTCATAATACTAATTCAGCAAAACTACCACTCATGGCATATAATACCACTAGAAAGGGCAGGATGTGGCACCTCGCTGTGCAAGCACTGTTTATAGCCTTATTATGCTAGACCTGACTGGTACTTACTGGGATCAAGTCTTATGGACTGCCTAGCTGGATACCAGTGTGGATCTGCAAGACAAATATAAAAAGTATAAAATTATCCATAATACAGTATTTGCTTTTGGATTATCCACTGATTTAATGACTGCAACAGAAGAAGAGAAGCTCTTGGTTAGGGATTTTTATTACTTGTTTTATTTTTTATCAGAAGATTTACCAGGTGTTGCTTGGGTCTTTAATTCAATTAATTTTTGTTTGTCTTCATTTAAATCATTGCTGTGGGGTGGGGTGGAGGAGTTCAGTATGCAGGCTGTCCCAGGGAGAGAGGCCTTCCCCAGCCCTCCCCAGGAACCTTTTAAGGAGGGTGGAGGGGTTGAAGTTTCCCTCCTCCCCAATTCATTTGGGGACATGTTGTCTCCTTCCCCTTCATCAGGGAGTGAGAGGACATGGTGCTTTATGCTGCACCAGAAGCAAAGGCACATTTATAATTGCCAAGAAGAGAAATGATTCTAAGATGCTATTACAAAAACCAGATTAAAAATATTTTGAAAACCTCTAGCGATGCACTACTGTGCTTTTGAAATTCTTGCACCCAAGAGATCTAGCAGGTTCAATACTGAAGGTATTAAATCTTGAAAGAGCAATGGGAAACCTGTGACAGGAATTATAATGGCAGGGTAGCATGTAGGTTACAATGGTAAGATTACCGAGAGATCTTGTACAGGGATTTATAGGTCAAAGCTGCGGGTCATTACCACAAAAGCCACACCAAAACATTGTACTAATGAAGCAGTGTGGAGAGTGGCCAGATTGTATTTACTAGAGGGCTGTGGGTTGATTTTTGTCACAATTTACCTTAATAATATTCCTCAGTGGCATAGTCCCATGGGAGAACCGATGAACAAATATTGTTTCAATCAACCTTTTGATGTAGTGGAAAGAATGGCAGATACATGCCAAGCTAGAAACAGCAAGACAAAAGCATTTAAGAATGCTACAGAAACAAATGTGGCAAGACAGTTGGAATAAAAATATGATGCTTACAAAAAATATTGCTTGAGGCTCATAACAGAACTTACTTAACTACTGGATGGGGGCTTGATGTAAGCTTGTCATTCAGGCCATAGACAAAAGGCATGCGGAAATAAAACAGAAAATAGATGAACAATGGACCCGCATATTCTGTCAAAAATACCTGAAAAAAGGGAGAGAATAATTAGACAGAGCAGATCAGAAGCTGTGCTTTTTTTTATTAGTAAATTCCTCCACCAACCTAGAATGGAGGATTGGTTGGTTGATTTGACAACATTTGGAATTATATTCTGAGACTGTTAGAAATGCATACATATGGCATGCACTTGCATTTGCAGTGACTGCATACAACTTCAATAATTGCATTCACGTGTAACAAGTTATGTGCAATTAACAAAGGAACACATACAGTTGTGAAATGTGAATGCAAATTATAGTTTTATTACCTTAGCCTTTATTTTTCATCTTGGTGTCCTATAAAACTGCTTTTTATATAGTTTAAAAAGAATGCTGGGGGAAAAAAATCTCTCAAAAAAAGGGAAAGAAACTAGTTTATAATGAATGAATTTTGTTTAAAATAAAATACTTCATATGAACACCAATTTAAATTGACCTCAATTTTGATTATTACTTTTGCTTCCATAACTCAGTAAGGTAGGTTGATATCCAAATTATGAAGACATGAGGGAAATGTACTATACTTACATAACAAAAAGTCACCACTTTTTTTCTGATATAGTTGAAGCTACTGAGATGGCCAAAAAAGTTGTTGAGATTTTAGTGATGTTCACTATATTAATTTGATATGCTGTGGTATTTCACTGTACATTGATATGAAAACATCTTGATCTTCTAATTTGCTGTGATCATCTTACTGTGTTTAAGATTTCTTGCTTGTTGTCCTTTTTCTAATATAGGCTCCAGTGTTATGCTGAGGATTTATACTCAACAAAAAACAATTACTGTTTTTAATATTACAGAGTGTACTATTACCTTTGTCTTTGATATTGTTCATTAATAATATTACATTAATTGTTCTAAGAATAATCTGTCTTCAACTTGCTGTCTAACTTTACCTTCATGCTGTGACATTACAGTTAAAACTAAAGGACAGTATGTGCACTGTAACTGCAGAAGGCTCTGCACATATCACTTCAGAGCCACCATTTCTCTTACCGCCTCCTACTCAATGCTGCAGGCTAATGCTGCCATGATGGAACTTTGCTTTGAATTAAGGGTGCAGAATATATGACATTTTCTTCAATCTCTGTTAGAGCTGAATGAATAACTGATTATTGAGTTTGGTGGCGGAACCAAAAGGTATGAAAAAAATATTTGGGTAGTTTCAAACCTAAACTGATTTTTTGTAGTGTTCTTTCTTGACAAAATGAAAAATTAGTGTTTGGATCAAATGAAACATTGTGACTGCCTATTTGAAGTGACACTTGATTTCTAAATTAAATTATTTGAAACGCAATGTGGAAATAGCTCATTTTGATAGCTTCAAAACAAACTTTTGAGTTTCAATTTTTTCCCAGTGTTTATTTAGCCAAACTCACACTGAATTCATGCTGCCACTAAAATGACCAGTTGTCAGTAGTATCCCAGGACCTAAACTGCAAACATGCATGTGAGTAACTTTACTTTCATGAGCAGACCCATGAAAGTCAATGAAATTGACGGATATGAGTAAAGGTATTCATATGTCTTTGCAGGATTGATCTCCAGGACAAGAATGTAAGCCTGATCTCTGATTGCCCAAGGAACAGAATTTACATAGTTACTTAGTACCACAGTGCCAGATTATGTTGTGAGACAATCACTACTGCTTTTCCATTGAATGCATGGCCAGGATTTCATGATGTACTTTTACTGAAGTCTCTCATTAAATGCTTCTTAAGGTTAGAATAGTTAAAAATGAAGATCTGCTCTCTCCATCTGCTGTCAGACCAGGCGACATATAGAAATTCTATATAAATGCTGAGAGAAAGTGATGCAAAAATTAATTAAAGAGAAGCATTAATTAAAATGTCCCAGGCTTGCAGCATAGCTCACCATCGTCCATCCTATTTGTGGCCCTAAATCTTTAAAATACAGTGTAGCGGTTGTGCCAACTGGGAGATGTTGCAGGATTTCCTCATCTCTCAAGGATTTTCCCTCTGAGAAGAAGAAGTAGTAGTTATACACATCACAGTAGAATTAAAGTAAACTCTGGTAACAGAAACCTTTTAGTCCATTTAGACCAATCTTGGAATCCTTTTGGCCGGACTCATGCTTTTACCAGAGTCTTATGTAAGAGTATGCCACCTGATAAATACACATTTAGAATCCTAGCGTTTTCGTATACGTGCATGCAAAAAACAGGAGTAAATATGCTGTCCACCCACAGAACTACCACTGAAGCCAACACCATGAATTGAATTCTCACGCCCTGATCTGCAGTATGGTCATTCCACTGCTGCTGAAGAAAATGGGTAGATGCTAATGGGGTAGGTGAGTCAATACTCTCTCTGTTGGGACAGAGAATTTTTCAGAGAGCACGGACCACTAACCAGCCTCCTTCTCATTCCTCATTTCTGTGAACTCCTTCATGGAGGAAAGTCTTAGCATGCAAGAGGTTGCATTGTCCTCCTACGTGACCTCTTTGGGCCCTTCCATTTCAATCCAGTGGAAATGTGGTTTTACAGGGTTTTGTCCTAAGCAGGGGGCATGGCACAGAACAGGATCTCTCTCTATCTCTCGCTCTAGTAAAATGCAATTTATATTACACTTTTTTGCACACACTCTTGTTGAACTGACATCTTTCCATTTCAGAGGTTTGACCTATGAGACACAAGCCTGCTCTGGGCTGGTGGCACCCTTGCTTTTCCTTCCTGCATTTAGGGGCATACCCATAGTTCCAGCTGTCACCTACTAACACGTTTCCCAGCATAAGCCATTGGATGGCTGTTCACATAAATTCTTGTGGAAGAAAATAAGCTGCTCAAGCACATATTTTCCCATGGACTTATCCCAAAACAATTTGTTAATCTTTACTAACAATCATTTGAAGAGATTGTGTAAGTAACTATGCCTAATAGCAGCAAAAAATGCTACATATTATTTGAATAATATGGATAATTAAGATGTTTTTTTCAATTATTCTTTCATTTTTAAGCACCAATGGCATGCAACAAGAGTTTTCTATCAGAAATACCCATGACCAATTTAATTGAATCAGTCGCTTGGCACCAGCTAAGTTTGCAGAGCCTATATTCCCAAATGCATTTTTCATTAGTTTATCACTTAAAAAAGCTACAATGTCCACCTGAGATTTAAAATGTTAACGTGAATTACTAGCACTAGTACATAATCCTTCAGACTTTTCATATTTGAGCACCATTCTGGGTTCCATCTCATTGCAGTTAAATGCAGGTGGTAAACAGATTAGATGCTGATTCCATTGAAGGACAAGTGCTCAATAGCTGAAAGCAAATTAAGTCAATGTGCAAACTCCCCAGTTAACTAAACAGTGGTTACTAGCATCAGACCCATAGTAGGACTCTGAGCAATAATGTTCAAAGAATTCAGCTTGTGTTGAGCTCCTTTTTGTAAAATCCTTCATAATACTAATTCAGCAAAACTACCACTCATGGCATATAATACCACTAGAAAGGGCAGGATGTGGCACCTCGCTGTGCAAGCACTGTTTATAGCCTTATTATGCTAGACCTGACTGGTACTTACTGGGATCAAGTCTTATGGACTGCCTAGCTGGATACCAGTGTGGATCTGCAAGACAAATATAAAAAGTATAAAATTATCCATAATACAGTATTTGCTTTTGGATTATCCACTGATTTAATGACTGCAACAGAAGAAGAGAAGCTCTTGGTTAGGGATTTTTATTACTTGTTTTATTTTTTATCAGAAGATTTACCAGGTGTTGCTTGGGTCTTTAATTCAATTAATTTTTGTTTGTCTTCATTTAAATCATTGCTGTGGGGTGGGGTGGAGGAGTTCAGTATGCAGGCTGTCCCAGGGAGAGAGGCCTTCCCCAGCCCTCTCTCACTGCAGCAGTTTGGGGTCAGGTGAAAAGCGCCTCTCCATGGCTGCTGCAACTCCAGTGGGCACAACTAAGGGAGGGGTGTAAGTCCCCAGCTGGTGCTGGTCTTAGGTTAGTCTGCCCCCTGCACTCCCCAGGCAAAGTGAAGAATGCAGCAAATTGTTGTCTCCTTCCCCTTCATCAGGGAGTGAGAGGAAAGTACACAATGTTCCCATACAAATCAGGAGGAGGAGCTGCAGCCTCTCCCGCCCCCCCACCCGCCTACTATAAAGGGTGCCTGGGGGGATGGGAGGCTCAGGCAGTCCCAGACAGGGGTGGGGGGAGTGGGAAGTGGTGCCCCCGGATAATCCCTTTCACCCGCCTGGTGACTCTGTCTTTTTCTGTTTTATGAGAAGCAATCCCACTCCAGGCATATCCAATTTTCCTGGCTCAACCAAACCCTTAACTTGCTTTATGTTGTGATAAGAGGAAGCTAGCTCTTCCTAGCTCTTACCATTTAGGAGGAGTTCTTGCACAGATAGACAATTTCTCTCAAATATATAATAGATTATAAAAACCAAAAGCAAAGATTTGCATAAATTAGTAGATTACTGATAATGAAAAATGTTATATCTCAGCTACATTAATGTCCACTTGCTGATTACAGGCAGTCCCCGGGTTATGTACAAGATAGGGACTGTAGGTTTGTTCTTAAGTTGAATCTGTATGTAAGTCGGAACTGGCATCCAGATTCAGCCGCTGCTGAAACTGATCAGACCAAAAGCAAAGATTTGCATAAATTAGTAGATTACTGATAATGAAAAATGTTATATCTCAGCTACATTAATGTCCACTTGCTGATTACAGGCAGTCCCCGGGTTATGTACAAGATAGGGACTGTAGGTTTGTTCTTAAGTTGAATCTGTATGTAAGTCGGAACTGGCATCCAGATTCAGCCGCTGCTGAAACTGATCAGTTTCAA